TTTGGGTGCCCCTGGTCAAATAATATGGCTTGTTGTCTTTTCTAAGTGTAAATAAGTGAAGACGTCTTCTACAGTGAACACACATTTTAATGCACAGCTACTGTTTATTCACTGAATTTAACATGTTAAGAAAAAATAAAACATGAAATGTGACATGCAAAAGTTATGGCACATTTTATATTTTATGTTTAATCTTTTTCCAACATTTTAAAAATAGAAATGCATTAAAATTTGCAAAAAAAGACATATTTTAGTTTGGTCCCTGCAGAGAATGTGGGATTTGCATTTGAAAATCAGCCAAACATTATTATAAACATGAGCAGGGGCGCCCAAACTTTTGCATACAACTGTCTGTACATGAGTAATGGTAATGCTGTAAAGGCAGATCCAGATAACTGCACACTTGGACCAAAGATGCAGCAATATTCTCGCTAGACATGATAAATGACACTTTTGTGTTTTACTCTGTTGTGTTTTACTGAAAAAGAATGAACTTGATGTTCAGACTGAATCGCTGTTTCTCTGTCCTGCACGTTTTGGTGTTTTGCTGCTCACTCACTAATTTAACTCTCTCCAGCAACATTTCACATTAAAATGGAGTCGTTAGAGCAGATGACACTAACATGTGCAGAACAGGGGAACTATAGAAGCAGGACTGGGGAACCATAGACTGAAAAAACAAGGGCCAAAGCTAACAGCAGGGGGCAACCTTTACATGCAATTCTCCTGAGCTTAATCTCCAGGACTCTGGATAGCATGATGTTCTTTCACACTCTTACAAAACCATTTGACCCCACACTCTTAAAAATGGTTCTGCAAGGGTTTTTTAGTAAAGGCAATCATTCTATATGGAACCATCAACACTCAAAGAACCATTTGAATGAAAAAATGGTTCTTTGCATGGTCAAATGGTTCTTCTCTATGAAAGAAAAAGTAACACTTCTATGAACACTTTCTATGAATGTCATGTTTGTAAGCATCTATAAACACATTTATAACGTTATAATGCCTTCATACAGCATTATAAACATGATTATAAATATTTATAAAAACGAATTACACTTTATAGCCATGTTTATTATACATTATGAATTGTTAATATAATGAGTTATAAATAGTGTTGATAACATGTTATACTGTCAGTGCCAAAGAAGTCAGTCCCAGCTTGGAGAGCGTAAAGACAAATACCAAGCTAATGGTGGTGTACATTACCTTTCCCAAGTTGGGTAAAACACTGATGGCAGCTCTAGTTTAAACTCTGTCATTTGAAGCCTGTAATGTGCTTTATTATGTATGTTTTAGTGTTTCAGTAAATCCTTCAGTAAATACTTCAACTTGAAGCCTCACTCTTAACACTGGAGGAGGCTTTAGTACAGTACGCTGCACTTTACTTAGAGCGGACAAATACGACTTATGAGCTCTTATTAATTTGTTATGATCTGAACGTGTAATGCATTTTTAAAAATATTTATAGCCATGTTTATAATGCCTTATGAATGCATCATTACATGTTATGAATATGTTTATAAATGCTTACAAAGATGACATTCATAGAAAGTGTTACCAGTATTTCTATATGGTTCTTTAAAGAACCCTTTTAAAAGTTGTTCAGTATAGCACCAAACAGGGTTCCCCTATTGTTACAAGTCATAGAATCCATTTTCAGTTCTGTACCACATCTACGCTAGTTTTATAAACTACAAGCTTGACCTCTATAAATGGACATTAAAACACTACTTTCAGTTGCTACTTGATGACACCGCTGCTACTGGTTTGAGCGCTAACTAGAAAAGCCAGACAGTTGAAACAAAATTTTCTCTTTGATTTCTGTCTCAGTTCTTTTTCAGTGTTTCTCATTCCCGTCATACCGGTGTACCACAAACAGATGCAGATCACGCTGCTGACATCCTCTTTCACTGAATGGCTAAGTCAGGGATGTTTGAATTGCATTTTAAGTGAATATAACAAGGAAAATGAAACACAGCAGAGCCTCAATCACCTCCCATTGCACCTGAAGAAATCCGGTTAGTTTTAAGGCACACATAAAGGAATGACTGGTGTTTTGGAGTTAGCATTAGCCTAACATGGACACCAGATTGATTGCCTTTAACCTTGTTAAATTCAGATATGATATTTAGCTCGGTTTAGTCCAGAGATACCAGTGCATTGTTCAGATCTGTTTTTATTATGTGCACAATAAAAATGATTCAGATTTACATTGGTTGTTAAATATGATTTAAAAAAAAAAGAAATGCATATATATACATATATATATATATATATATATATACATATATATATATATATATATATATATATATACACCGATCAGGCATAACATTATGACCACCTCCTTGTTTCTACGCTCATTGTCCATTTTATCAGCTCCACTTACTATATTGGTGCACTTTGCAGAGCAGGTACTATTTGGGTGGTGGATCATTCTCAGCACTGCAGTGACACTGACGTGGTGGTGGTGTGTTAGTGTGTGTTGCGCTGGTCTGAGTGGATCAGGCACAGCAGTGCTGCTGGAGTTTTTAAACACTGTGTCCACTCACTGTCCACTCTATTAGACACTCCTACCTTGTCAGTCCTCCTTGTAGATGTAAAGTCAGAGACGATAGCTCATCTGCTAGTGCACAGTTTGTGTTGGTCATCCTCCAGCAGTGACACTGAGGTGTTTAACCTATATATATATATATATATATATTGCACTGTTTGTGTATCTGTGTGTGTGGAGACAGGAGCATTATCATAAGTGTTGGTGTCACTCCTCGAAGGCCCGTTAGTCACTGATAGTGATCAATTGCGCTCCCTGAATAATTTACCTTGAATTGCGAGTTCACATAACCGCCGGGCTTTCTGAACAGCTCCCTGTATCTCTTTCCACATGTGTGTCTGACCACAATTCTGCCTTTATGTATAAAGGCTACATCAAAAATTGTGAATTACATGCACTCAGGATTTTCTGCCTGATGTCTCATCTCTATTTGATGGCCATTTTATTGGTGTTGTGCTCCAGAGGTCAGCTCTGCTGACACTTGACTGGATAAGTACATGATTTAGTGATGGACTGAGGCCATAAAACTGGATTCATTTGCATTTTAAGGGTTTTAATATGTGTGGCCCCTTCAATAAACTGACACATTTGTCAAAGCACGATTCTCAGTCAGAATGTAAATCTTGAAGAGGTTAAAGAACAGACATCTTTGTCTCTCTTATTAGATAACAAAAAAATATATATATATATATATATATATAGATAGATAGATATATTTTATTTACTTTAATTAGTTCAAACTGAGGCCCCCAGTAAAAAAAACAATTTGGAAAAAAAAGATTTATTCAGTATTTAGTAAACATGTATTCAGACTTTATTCAGACTTTATTATGATCTATTTAAACCAAAGTCATTAATAAAGACAGTATTGAGCTAAGTTATACAAAGATCATAATTTATAGGGTACTTTTTATTGGGATCTGCTGTCCCATGTTTTCATGTCACTACTGAAACAGAAAGTTTTAGTTCATAGGCAGGGACTTATTTTAGCCATGCCTGTGCATTTTAGAGCAGGAAGTGAGGCTGCATCCCTGTCCCTCATGGCCACATGGTGAACAGTTAGATCCCACTGTTTTGAACTTAGTGTTTCCCAAAGTCTGAAAATCAGTGTGGAACGTTGAGAATCGTCACTACTGAAACACGTATGTTCTGTAATTCAATTTTTTTTCTGTTTTAATGAAAAATATGATGATTTTATGTGTGAACAGCTGTTCAAAGCTGTGTTTGCTGGTCATGTACTGGCTGCGTTTTTGAGTTCTGCTCAAAATTAGCTGAAATTGTCACAACCAAAACAGTCACTACTGAAACACTTGGTAAAGTTTCAGTAGTGTTATGATGGTTTTGGTAGTGACTAAATGAAAGGTTCAGTGGTTTGTTTTAATGAAATAAACATAATTAAGGTTTAGGGTCACTCAAAGCAAAAGCATTTTAGTCTAAAGTCCATGTCGGTTAAAAGTTTGAAATGTGTTTTGAGCTAATTTAGTAGGATGAACCAGATAAACAGACAGACAGACAGACAGACAGAGAGAGAGACAGACAGACATCATATGCAAAAGTTTGGGATCCCATGGTCAAATGACATGTTTTGTTGATTTTCTAAGTGAAAATAAGTTAACACACCCTCTGCAGAGAACACACTTCTGCAGGTTTTAATGCACAATTACTGTTTATTTGGTTTTTATTTTCACTTAGAAAATCAACATAACATCATTTGACCAGGTGTATTCAAACTTTTGCATTAACTGTATGTACACAAATAAATAGATAGATAGATAGATAGATAGATAGATAGATAGATAGATAGATGTAGAATTAGAAGACTTAAAGAATAATTGTAAATATGACAGTGAAGGTGAGGACAGACCTGAAGGCCCACCTCTCGCTTTTTTACTATTCTTCCACAAGCTGTAGTATCTACCTGACCATCCGGCAGGAGGGAGAGAGAAGGAGAGGGCTAAGACAAGGCTTGTTTGGATGAATTATTCACGCTCTGGTTGCTAGGATTGTGTCCACATTTGCTGGCTGGACGTGACAGCTGCGTCCTTTGGGTGTAGGGTTCTCCCTGGACCTGTATTGATTTGCCTGGAGTATATTTAGTTAATTAGAAAGCTGTATATTATCAGGGGATCCACCTCCACACCCATCAACCCCTCCGTCCTCCTCTTTTACCCACACTCAGCCAGGGGCAGGTGGACGGAGAAGCTCTAAGCCTTTGGCCTGAGGACACCCTGGTAGAATTTGGCTTGCATCAATTTAAAGAAACAGATATAGATGCTACAGTAGCAGAAAAAAAAGGAAAAGAATTATTTTTGGACTGATCTTAGGGGCAGGAAGCAGCGTCCAGACACACACCGTCTGAGGAGGTCGTCCAGACAAGCTCAAGTGAAGAATCTGTGAGCCGACTGTTTTTGTTTGTGTTTATTTTTACCCCCGAGGAAGATACAGCGCCTTAGTGTAATATCCTGAGTTTCTGCTGGACTTCAGTTAAATGGTCATTCTCTCTCGCACACCTGCTGAGGAAGTAAGCGTGGGTTGTCTGTTGAGGAGGAACAGTGAGCTGAATAGTTTTGGACTTCTTGCTGCATGTATGGATGAGAGTTTGCTGTGTGGAGGATGTATAAACGACGGGATTACGTTGAGCTCTATGAGAAGGATCAGGCCAAGTGGGCTCTTCTGAGGAACGTCAACACTGTCTTCAAACACAGTACTCTGCTGCCGGTAGGACCCCTGAGTATATAGCCACTACTGGAACAAAACCTATATCTCTCTTTGGTTACTGAGGTTAAGATTGAGGTTTGATTTAGAAAATGATTTTTAAGTTTGGGGCATTTTATTATTATAAAGATATTTATATAAATATAATGTGGGGCATATTATTATTATTGCATATAGGTATTTACATGTATAATTCAAAGGGGATGTACAGTACTGTGGAAACATTGTAGAAATTACAATTAAAAAGATACTGAATTGAGCTTATTTGCTTAAAACAGGGGTTGACAACATGTGGCACTGGAGCTGCATGCAGCTCTTTTACTGCCCTGTTGTGGCTCCACAGCTGAATTAGATTCGTAGGTTAAAAATAAAATAATCCTCCTTTACAGTAAAATAAAGCTCTGCTGATCGTTCAACACAGTTTTAACAATAAATGGTCTTAAACTCTGGAGTTAATGTAGAACTGCTAATTCACCCTTTAACACTGAAGGTTGGCGCACAGACTGCTGGTCACCATAGCGACACAGACAACAGTCTCGCCTAGCTAGTAGCTAACGAAACGGCAAAGAGAGATTTAAGACGAACATTGATAATTTGGAGACGAATGGACTTATTAGTGTTTATAATCACTCAGCTGGTTTCCTGATACGTTTAATCTGCAATGAGAAACTATCAAACACTTAAAACTCAAGAAGCTGAAGTCAGCTTCTCATTCTCCAGCTTCTTGTTTGAATTTCCTCGTTCCCGTGTCCCGGAACAGGAAAAATCTGAAAAAGACACTGGAGAATGAGAAGCTGATATCAGCTTCATAAAATAGCGAATGTTGAGAGACATTTTACAAGAAGCTATTAAACGTTTGGAAAGGTTTCCTGCTGGAGATGTGAGAAAAGCAGCTATAGTTGAGCTAAAGCCTAAAGCAGAGCAACGTAAGTCTGTGTTTTTGTTTATATTTTTAGCCTACACTAGAACATCAGTACATACTGAGACATGTTTACAGCCAAGATGTTAAAATGGACATAAATTGGACACAAAATGGCTCTTCTTAACATTTGGGTTGTGACCCTTGGTTTAGAAAAACACTAATATTAGAATAAACACAAATAACATTAATACAGTAAGTAGTGATTTTACAAATGTTTTGTTTAACTATTTTTCCATATTTCCATATGTATCTAATTAATACTTCATTAAATTATCAAGTGAGCTGGTGATGAAATTTAATAGATCCATGTTTGATGGCAAGAGGCGTCCAGGAGAAATCTGGAAACAAAGCTGGAACCAAAGCTTGTGACCTAGTTTGTTCTTCAAACTAGCTCATAAAATATCAGCTACCTTTTTTACAAAAAAAGCTCGTTACTTTTTACTGTATTTAGGTTTATTTGCGTTTATTTTAATAAAATATGGTGCTCTTACAAGCAAAACACACTTATTGGCCAGACAAATAGATTTAAATAATGTGGTTAGGTGCCTTAGAACCGTGCATAGTGTTATATTATTATTACAGCTATTTGCACATATGTAATACATGGAACATATTGCCAACCACATGTAGGTACTTACATATTGCTGCTGTTGGAACAAAACCTCGTAGGAGAAGGAAAAAACATACTTTACTTTTAATGTAAGTCAATGGAACCAGACTTATTTTAGTCTGTTCATCATGAAATTTACACACAATGTAAAGGGTAACAGGTGTTTTTAAATTTTGTCAAAAACTGAAAAACGTCAAAAATGGAGATGCAAGGTTTTCTTCCGACAACAGCGAGATATAGTTGTATGCAAAATTTTAAACACTCCAGAAGAAGTTACATTTTATAGTGCACAATTGTAGTGCACGATTTTTATTTATTTGCTAAATTTAACATAAAATTTGTGCCAAAACATTTGCACAGACCAGATTTTGTGTTAAATTCAGCAAACAAACAGCAGTTTAGGTTGTAGAGGACATGTCCTGACATAGAAAAAACAACACCATAATTACAGGAATCCCTCATGTGTTTGTGAATGGCTCCATGAACTGATTCGTTTGCAAAGAAGTCATTTACTTCCAGTAATGTGGCTGTGTTGTCTTGTGGCACTAATCTGGTCTGATTAAAGCAGTAAGCCACTTAAGGCTGTGCATTACAGTGATTTTACAAACAATACGACATACAAAATAACTGTTTTATTCATGATAATAGCAATGCGATTATTCCACCAAGCAATGCAGATCATTAAGGGTAGACAGTGGTGGCTGGGCGACATAATGGTTAGTGATTATTCCCAAATCAGCATAAATGATTTTAATAATTTTATACATCAGTAGTTAATTTATGTGTGTCTATTGAGTATTTTACATCAGCTTCTGACACCGCTCAGCCAATCAGATTTCAGAATCAGAACTGTCTGTTTGTTAGAGGGGATTTCCACCACTTTTTCAATATTTCTGTATAATTCAGTGGTTAAGAGGTAAACAAAGTCATTCAGAGTGATTTGATTCTCTGTTCTAGAGAACCTTACTTATTCAGAATTGTTCACAGTGGTGGTGATAGGAACCAGACGTCTGAAGAGTTTAATGCCTCTAAAATGGTTATGAAAATGCTGTCTGATGGCTCAGACATTGTTTTACAATAGTTTGAAAAGTTTTTTTAGGCCTATTTTATTTTTTAAATCTATTGATAGTGGAGAGGTACATGCAGGGTGTTGTTAGACAAAGTAGTCCCCAAAGAAAACTTCTTTTTTCAGATTTTTCACTATTTTACCATCATCAACATTCCATATAAAACCTCAGCAGACACATGTAGGTTCACTAGTGGTTTTGGTAGTAAATAATACCCTGGTTAATTTCTCTACAATGAACCATTTCATGTCAATGACGTCTCTTGATCTAGGGCGACTATGTATGGCTGGACCTGAAGACTGGGCGGGAGTTCGACGTCCCCATTGGAGCAGTGGTGAAGCTCTGTGACTCGGGTCAGATCCAGGTTCTGGATGATGAAGGCAATGTGAGTTATTTGTTTCCATATAAACCTCTCTGTTCTTACCCTTTTCTGTGAACTTTCCTTATAAGGTGTGAAATCTAATCTAATCTAATCTAATCTAAAGTGGCCAGTGAGTGGAAGTTCAGGGTAGGTGTTTCTAATAAAGTGGCCAGTGAGTGGAAGTTCAGGGTAGGTGTTTCTAATAAAGTGGCCAGTGAGTGGAAGTACAAGGCAGGTGTTTCTAATAAATTGGCCAGTTAGTTGAAGCTCAGGGTAGGTGTTTCTGATAAAGTGGCCAGTGAGTGGATGTACAAGTTACTAATGTACAAATTATTACATTTCACTCGCTCTTCTTTCAGGAACACTGGATCTCCCCTCAGAATGCCACCAACATTAAGCCGATGCACCCCACCTCTATCCACGGGGTGGAGGACATGATTCGGCTGGGGGACCTGAACGAGGCGGGGATCCTCCGTAACCTGCTGATCCGCTACAGAGAACACCTTATATATGTAGGTCCACTCACTTTTTTATCCAATCACATTTCCTCAGTGACAAGTTTTTTAAAAGTATAACACTTCAGTGTGTGAGCATTGAAGTGAGGCATTATATACTGTACATTTATATCATTAATCTAATATTGTGTTAACTTTCTCCCTATGATTTTTTTAATTGAACAAAATGGTTTTGTTTGTGCAGGACGTAGGACTGCGATTCAAATTAGCCAGTTTATGACTGACATAATTTCAACAGCAGGTCATAGTTTATCAGTTGCCAAACTACAGCTAAATGTGGTTGATGAATTTTAGCACATGTAAAGCTCCAAGTTTGTATATCGGTGCTGTCAGACCAAAATCTTGTATCTCCAAAATGGTAACAGGAGAAGGAAGAAACACACTTTACTTTTAATGTAAGTCAATGGAACCAGACTTTTTTCCAAGTCATTTTGAGCTGTTTCTTTTGTTCCATTCATCGTGTAATTCACACAATATATAAAGGACAGTAGGTATTTTCAAATTATGTCAAAACTGAAAAACAACAAAAATAGAGATACAAGGTTTTGCTGTGACAGCAGCGATATGTTGGATTTACATGTTGTTTTAGCGTATGATATAATTTGGGTTCTGCTAATTACCTCTAATGTTTCTTATTTTTCATCCGTTCCCTCTTTAGAAAAAGGTTTGTGTGCAAAATACTTCTTGGTATTTGGGGGGTCTGAAGTTGGCTGGCGATTCCAGCGTTGACTAACTGCTAACTGCTAACTTACTCACCTTAGCGGGACTGGTGCTGGCTTCAGTGACGCCAAAATGTTTGGTTCAACAATTCTTCTTTTGGAAATGTTCTAGTTTGGTATTGCGATCTTAATTGAGATCTTGCACATCTCCTCTAGTGTCTAAGTTTTTCAGAGGTATTGTGAACGTAGTTAAAGTGGCTGAGCTATGAAGGGCCAACAGGCTGAACCAATCTGCTACAGCACCACCCTGAGGCAGTGAGCAGTGCTGCATCATTAGTTAGTTAAGAATATTAAAGACAGAAGCTCACCGATTGTGGAGGAGGCTAAATAAAGGATTTTCCCTGAATTTGTATTTGAGTGTCTATTTTTCCCTAATGAACAGCATAATACATTTATTTTCAGAGACCCCCCAGAATTTTGAATTTGAGACATTCAGGGGGTCCAAGAGATTAATTAGGGGGTCCTGGGCCCCCCTGTATTTCGCACCTTGGTTATAACATGTTTTCATGCTAAATATATGAATACATTTGACTTTTTTTTGTAATTTCAACCATAATTCTGTTTTTGCGTTTACAGCCTTAACTGTTGTTTTTTAGTCAAACAAGCAGTGCCTCACATTGGCCACACTGGAAGACTGTGAGTTCGAACCCTGGCGATGCCGTGGCCAAGAATAGTTGCAAGATGTTTATAAAACCACAGATTTCCAGTGTCAGCTGATTCTGGCCTGTTCAGCTGATATCGACTGACTGACTAACCAATATATCAGGCTCTGTGCAAATGTTTTAGGCAGCTGATGAAATGGCAATTAAAAAGCTATTTATCTGGACAGTAAGTGTTTATTTGCTCAGAAAACATCGATTTTACAACAAATAATAATAATAATAATAGGTAATGCAATAATTTGTTACTTTATGTAGGCCAATTTAACCATTTCCAAACCTCTCCTTGAGAAATCATAGCATTATTGGTAAGTAGAAACATGTATTTCCTGAAGGAAACACAGAATGGTACTGCAGCTTAAATGGTTTCCACTTCCTGCTGGGTTGTTGCCATGGTGTTGCTGAGCTGGTGGTTGCTTTGGTTGCCTGCTGCCACCTTAAATTTCCTGCTACCTTAACTTCAATGCTACTTTAAATCATTGCTACCTTAAATCCACTTCCACCTTAAATGCACTGTCACCTTAGATCTCCCGCTTCCTTAAATCTGCTACCTTAAATCCAGTGCCACCTTAAATACACTGCTACCTAAAATCTCCTGCTACCTTAAAAGTATGTTTGTTTGATGTGTTATGTGTGGTGTGTTCAGTGTATGTGTGTGGTGTTTCTGTGGTGTGTCTGTGTGTGGTATGTGGTATGTTAGGTGTGTTTGCGGAGTGTGTGGTGTGTTGAGTGTGCGTGTTAGTGTATTTGTAACATCGTGACACAAGAAAAGTGCCAAAGCTTTTGCACTCTATTCATTCCCATGGGAAAAAATGATGCAAAATTCCATTGCTCCACGGAAACCATGCATCCCATCAAAAAGCTGTATACAAGCAGCAGAAAATCCAGCAGAAAAATAAGAATAATATAAAACGAACAGAGAACATTATGCAACCTTACCTACGGCTTAACAGATCAATACTTCATTTAATTACATCAAGTGTGCTGATGGTGGAATTTAATAAATCTGGCTGGAGGCGTCGAGGAGAAATCTAGAACCAAACTTTGTTCTTCAAAGTAGCTCACAATATATCAGCTACTTTGTTGAAAAAAAAAATCTTCTTACTTTTTAGTGCATTTATGTTTGTTTGCTTATCTTATTTGTTTATCTATTATAATGATCTTTGGTTACAAGGCAAAACCAAGATAAGTGGTTTTAAATAATGTGCCTGATGCTTCTGTGCAGATCTGTGGGACTTTAGTTTCATGCCTGGTTAATCAATCCTTTACAGTGCTGTCTGTGTTTATAATCTAGCATGTTTTTCTTTAGACATAAAAAATTGTTCTCTTTGACTTTGAACTGGAACACGTCCTCAGTCTTATTTCCTCACCTGCCGCTTAATCACTAGCTCTTTATCAGCTGTCCTTGGTCAACCCTCTCTGCTTGTGTTCTCTTCCCTCTGTCTCTTCCTTCATTAAGACAAACTGTGGAGGCAGGGTAAGTACAGCGCTGACCTCATGCATGGCTGCCCACCGTCCATCAGCTCGCTATGAGCGAGTGTGTTTGCGTTACACTGCTCCATTTCAGCATGGCTCCACCGCCCCGCCGTAACCGGACACTGAGATGTGAAAGCCGAGACAGCGTCCACTCTTTTCTCATTCGCTCATTCTTTCAGCTACTGTCCCTCATCCTCACACAGTGCTTGTGTAGAGTCATCAGCATGGCTGTGTAGGGCATTACACTGTATGCACTGACGTATGCACTCGTCTCACCTTCAGCTCTATGTATTACAAAGTAAATCCAGACTCAAAATGGATGTATGGAATAAATATCAAGCAACAAGTGTAAACTCATCTGTTTTGATGTCTGAATAGTTGTATGCAGAACATAAGAAAATAAACTAAGGTTGTTTGGAACAGCTTAAGAGTAAAGCAATAGTGTAGTGAATTACATTTACACCATTAGACCAAATGCAGTCAGTCAGCTGAAATAGAGTACTGTGCAAAAGTCAGAGACCATAAGTTCCAATCAAAACTGACAATAAGTACAAGTTACACATTTTTTTTTCAGCATCAGGAAAAAAAAAAAACATCTAAAAAAAAACATTACACAGAAACCTCAACAACTAAATATAATGTTTTCAGTGTTTAGTGTGTCACTCTTTACCTCTATTACAGCTTCTGTTCTTTTCAGGAGACTCACTTTCAGTATTTCAAAGAAATCTGCGGGGATATTTTTCCACACCTTCAAAGTTCTTATGGATTTCTTCTTAGAAGTTGGTTACACTTTCTGCAAGTAATCCCAATTCAGTGATGTTGAGGTCTGGACTCTGGGTGGTCAGTCTATTGTTCTGTGAACACCAGCTTCTTTGTTTGATAAGTAGTTAGATTAGATTTCTTTCGTTTTCATTGCATGTTTACCTACAGTGAAATTCAGGGGCACCACCTGAAAGGATGCATATATATATATATATATATATATATATATATATATATATATATATATATATATATATATATATATATACATGTGTGTAAAGATATAGAAATATATAGGTAATAGATATATATATATATACAGATATATATACATACATACATAAATGTACATATACATACACACACATACATTTATATATATATCCTCATACATATATATACATATATATACATAAATATATATATATCCTCATACATATACATATATACACATACCCACACATACACATATATAAAAACATCTTACACTCTCAGCAGAGTAGCTATTTTGCTGTAGAATTAATATTAATTTCCAGATGATGTATTGCAAGTTGTTGTACTTATCTACTTCCCCACACTTGCTCCGTTCCTCCACCATATGTGACAGATAATTGTAGACATGGTTCCAAGAGTTTTTCACTGCTTTGACAGCATACGTACTGCTTCTGTTACTTCCAAAGATCTAAAATCTAGAAGCATCAGTTCATAAAATATTCCTCCACATCTCAGATGGCCAGTTTTGGTGTTCTAGTGTAAATGTTCTTTCTTTTTTGTCTAGCACTTTTACTCATCAATGGCTTCTTGATCAGCTACACATCCTTTCAGACCCACAGCGCTGAGTCGTCTTCTCACAGTGGAAGGATGGACAGAAACACCAGTGGATGTTTTCAGATCTGAAGCAGCTTGATTTTCTCCTCTCTCTCAAAGATGAAAGCTTTAAGTGCTGTTTATCTGATGGGGCAGTTGTGGTGTCTACCAGGTTTTCCAATGTATTTTGCAAGTAATGGCCATTTTGACTGGAAATGAAATAAATAAAGAGTGCTCTCTGACTTCTGCGCAGTCATGTAGATACGATGCTGGAACAGTGTTTTGTGGATGGATGAGACCAAAATAGATCTTTTTGGTTTAAATGAGAAACGTAATGTTTGGAGAACGGAAAACACTGCGTCCCAGCATAAAAACCTTATCCAATCTGTGAAACATGGTGGTGGTAGTATCATCTACTATTAGCACTTTTAGGTTAATTTTCATAATATTCATATTCACAAACAATCACCACTGTAAGCTTCCATTATTTGTGTACTACATTAGCCTTGTGGCTCCAGTGCAAAACAAATGAAGCAACCTTTCAACACCAAAAAGTCTTATCTGATCGGGGAGTAAGAGAGGACTTGTGTAAATGAGTTTTTTCACCAAACTGTTCCTTAAACAACCAAACTTATTTATCCTCCTTTCTCCTGTTTAGACATACACAGGTTCGATCCTGGTGGCGGTGAACCCCTACCAGCTGCTCCCCATCTACACAGCTGACCAGATACGCCTCTACACCAACAAGAAAATCGGAGAGATGCCTCCTCACATCTTTGCCATCGCTGACAACTGTTACTTCAACATGCAGAGAAACAATAAAGACCAGTGCTGCATTATCAGGTCTGACTTTCTTCTCAGCCCTTTGTTAGTAAGCGCAGGTGTTACTGCAGCAGCTGTGGCTCTCAGAGCAAACGCTTTGGATGTGCGGTGTCCAGAATAATTACCGCTGTTTATCTGTGTTAATCTCTCTGTGTGTATTTTTAAACGTCCCTCTCAGCGGTGAGTCCGGGGCAGGGAAGACGGAGAGCACGAAGCTGATCCTGCAGTTTCTGGCAGCCATCAGTGGTCAGCACTCCTGGATTGAGCAGCAGGTGCTGGAGGCCAACCCCATACTAGAGGGTGAGAACTTAGCATGAGCCACAGTGTTTTTACAGAGATGCGTGACAGAAGCGGCTGGGTGTTGAAATTCAGTACGTCTATAGTTCTAACTGGATTAGTTCGATATTACCTAGTATTGAAAAATTCTATATCCTTGCAATGCGCAAGTAGTCAATCTTAGCGTATGTGAGCCAATGAGCACATTTTGGCTGTGTAAATGACATTCTGCATGTGTGATATTGATGTCAGCGCTTCTTGATTAGTCTGTAATTCATTGCAGTAAATAAATATACATACTTTCAGCACCTGTCACTGATTTCCGGTTTAAGCCATATTAGGGCTGCTCGATTATGGCAAAAATCATAATCACGATTATTTTGGTCAGTATTGAGATCATGATTTCCTGTCTGACAGTAGATTTCCTTGAACTTTAGATATAATGTAACAGAAAAACAAATAAAAAAATAAATGTGAAAAACTGATTGTAACCCCTCCTAATTATTGAGTTCAGGTGTTTCAGTGTATGTATATATATATATATATATATATATATATATATAAAAGAAATCAACTATTTTGTAGTGCACTATTAAATATATATAAAATAAATAAAAATAAATTACACCAAAAATAAATTTGATGAGTTTAAGGGAGGGGTAAAGGGGGACCGCTGTAAATGGGAGGGATACACAGGGATTATAACACAAGACTAAATGAGGGCATCATTGCAAAATGGAATAAGGCACAATAATCATTTTATCTTTATCTTGTTTTCATAATTGATGGAAGCCAAAATTCCAATGGCAATTAATCGCCCAGCCCTGAGCCATACCCAGTTTGTAATTTGAAAAAAAAATCATTGAGGAATCGGTACTGAACTCAGTGTACTGGTATCAGAGATGTTTGAACTCCATATTCTGCACATGCAGTTCAGTGTAATTCACCAAAAAAGATGCAAACAAAATAATCATAAAGGAAAGAGCATTGAAAAAGAGAAACAGGCAAATGAAAGCCAATGTAAATTAATGAGGTGCATTTTTGTGGCTGTTTTTTTTTAAAACACTCAGCATATGATGAGAAAGTGAAGAATCGTTGTAGCATAAAATAGAAAGCTGCTTTATTACATTTCTTATGTTTAACTGCAGACATATCCAGCTTTAGCATAGCGTAGCTTTAGATGAGTCTTTTAGACAACTCTAATAATTATAGTTGAAGATGCAAACCTTTATAACAACAGACTAAAATAAAAGAAAAAAGAAACTGGAGCAGTGTAACAATGCAAGAACATGCATGATGTCGTCCTTTCTGCTTGTACAGGTTTAGCATATAGGATAGTGCTTTACTGCTCCCTCATGCCCTCACCATATTGCTAGTTACCTTCCTAAGCTGTGTCAGGTGTATTAGAGCAGGCGATGCAGCTCACCAATGCTGGGACCGAGAACCGTTGTATAACTGACCATAGGAGAGTCCATGATGAGTTACTGACAGGACTGTGGGACACTGAGATTTGTTTTTTCGACAGCCTTTGGAAATGCCAAGACCATCCGCAATGACAACTCCAGCCGATTTGGGAAATACATTGACATCCATTTCAACAAAAGAGGGGCTATAGAGGGGGCCAAAATCGAGCAGTACCTGCTGGAGAAGTCCAGAGTGTGTCGACAGGTAAGGAAACGTGTTAGTTTAGAGATATATGTGTCTACAAGCAGCCCTGGGGGCCACAGCAGTGCACGCTGTACTGGTTTCACTGCTCTGACGCATCAGATCGATGATGGGACTTGGCTGGATGGCTGTCTTTTCCTGTCTTTTTTATATTTGCCTCTCTCTCTCCCTCTCTCTCTCTCTCTCTCTCTCTCTCTCGACTAGGCCCGAGATGAGAGGAACTATCATATTTTCTACTGCATGCTGAAGGGGATGACTCCAGAGCAGAAGAAGAAGCTCGGCCTGGGAAAAGCTACAGACTACACTTACCTCACTATTGTGAGTGAAGATGATGATACTACTTCATAATAATGTGTAATTATTACACAAACAGTTACATGTAGATACCACACATTACAACTACATATAGATACTTTTAAATGTATACATATATGCACACACATATATGTATATAGTGTAGTATTTATATGCAAGTGTTTATAATTTATGCACACATATAATTTTAACACATATTGTCACAGTCCAAAGAAAAACAAGCATCTCCAGAATGGTAACTTTACAAAACCCTCTTAACTTTTAATGTAAGTTAATGTGAAGAGGTTTCACTCCAAGTAATGAACATTTCTTTTGGGCCCTTCATTATGAAAGTTTCACAACGTAAAGTGCAGCTGCTATGTTTTAAATAATGAAGAAAAATTAAAAATCGGCAAAAATGGAGATTTTTTTTTGGACAGCGATGAAATGTAAGTATTTATATGTAAAAATTAAATGTATTATAAATGTATGTATGTATAAATGCATATAGTTGTATTATTATAAAATGTATTTATATATATAGCAGTTTTGGACCGCAGCTGACAAATTATGTGAAACAAAGGAAAAAAAAAAAGACAGAAATGGAGACAACGATGATATATAAGTGTAATAAAAATAGATCCAGTATGTATTATATCTACATCCCGACCCTCAGCAATGGTCATGAGCTGTGGGTAATGACCACATGAATGAGGTTGCGAATACAAGCGGCGGACATGAGCTTTCTCCGCAGGGTGGCGGGCTACACTCTACTCCAAAGGGTGAGGACCTCGGTCATCCAGGAGGAGCTCGGAGTAGAGCCACTACTCCTCCGCATTGAGAGGAGCCAGTTGAGGTGGTTCGGGCATCTGATATGGATGCCCCCTGGACGCCTCCCGGTGGGGGTGTACCAGGCATGGCCTACTGGGACAAGACCCTGGGGTCGTTCTAGGACCCACTGGAAGGATTATATCTACAAGTTTGCCTGGGAGCAGCTTGGGGTCCCTGGGAATGAGCTAGAGGAAGTTGCGGGAGACAGGGTCGTCTGGGATTCTCTGCCCTCCCAACAGCTACCGTGACTCTATCTGGACTAAGCAGTTAATAATAATGATGAAGATGATGTATTATATATGTGTACCTATTAATGTACCTATTAATGTAATCATAATTGTGTTATATATTTAATATTACATTTAGTAATAATAATACATTTATTATATTAATGTCATTGTTTTATTGTTATAATAGTTTTATTTATATTTGATTACAACTACAAAATTCGATGAAATATAAGTAAAACAAGTCACCCATCCAAACAAGTAGCCACGTTAGGGATAGTTTAGCTCCCATTTTATAACATTTATCTTATATTTTCCATCTGACATCAATTCAGGGAAACTGCACGGTGTGTGATGGACGTGATGACCAGAAGGAGTACTCTAACATTCGCTCAGCCATGAAGGTGCTCATGTTCACAGACACAGAGAACTGGGAGATCTCCAAGTTGCTGGCCTCTATTCTGCACATGGGCAACCTCAACTACGAAGGTCAGACACAGACAGTAGCTGTCACGCCTGTAGAAACTCCTCTCTTGTGCTTCCGTTCAGCGTCCACTTTAGGAGCTCCACTTACCTTATAAGGTCAGTGGTCACTAACTCTTCTCCTGAACTGCAGAGCTCAGTTCCAGCCTGTATCTAACATCCTGCCCCACCTTCTGAAAAGGGTTCATTAGCTGGAGCAGGTGTGGCAGATGGTGGTTGGAATGAGACTCTGAAGGCAGGTAGATCTCCAGGACCAGGGTTGGTGACCACTATGTAAGTGTACAGTTACAGACTGTAGCCCATCTGTTGCTGCAGTCATCAGCTACCCCTCATAATTGGTCAGTTTCTGACCACAGAAATACTATGAGTCATGTTAATGATGGTTAATGATGATGATATATTATGTATATGTACCTATTAATGTACCCATGAATGTAATCATAATTATGTTATATTACATAATTATGTAATAATTATATAGAGAAGAGTGGTCTCTTGCACAGTACTGTAAGTGCACTCACTGTCCATTTGATGTCCACAGCTTCCTTGTACTTCTACTCACTGGGCACTTCGTGAGCTCCACCTACCTTATAGGTCTACTATAAATGTGTGCAATTTCAGAATGTAGTCCACTGCTAGATTGAGAGTGGTCCACCACCCAGAAATATCCAGCCAAGAGTGGTTTTGAGGTCAGAAACTGACCACTGATGAATGATCAGAGGATAATTAACACCAATTGTGCATCTGCAGATGGGCTGCAGTTTCTAATTGTATACCAGCAAGCAAGGTGGAGCTACAAGAGACATATTTTTGATAGTGTATATTATAATAAATGCAGTGAATATAAGCTGATAATTATTTTTTTTTACTCCTCAGCCCGCACATATGATAACCTGGATGCCTGTGAGGTGGTGCGCTGTGCTGATCTGGCCACTGCTGCAAAGTTGTTGGAGGTAACATGATCAAAATGCAGATTCAGAATTGTGTTTAGATTCTGCATATGACTGTATTTGTGCTTTGTATTTTACCATGTTAGCTGTGCTAGATAGCCTGGAATCAATAATCATTATAATGTTCAGGTTAGGCACCATATTTGTTGGAATAATAAACTAAATGCTCCTGTTACAGTGACTGTGCTTATGAATGAGTGATATATGGTGTTTGTCAGGCGGTTATTGTAAGAGTAGAATCAGGAATAAGAAGGTTATATAAGCTGACTAGCCCTTCAGGTGAGCAACAGGTCAGTGAACGTCCTGACACGAGAGAGACAGGAGAGACTCTACTGCAGGATATCAGGACTGAGAGAGAAGGCAGAGTGCCATCTAGTGACAGAGTAGTAAAGGCACACTTAATTTGTTTTTTTTGTTTTTTTTTCAAAATTTCAAGCATTGGATTAACAAGAAATGATGAATGATAAATGATATACTGTAATTATCTATTTCCAGGCATCTTATGTTAACTGTCTTGAGATTTGATCACTACTTCTGAAGTATAGTAAATAATCAATAAAAATGAAGAAATGTTTGATGTGTCTATAATAAACTGTATATAATTCCATGGTGACTGAGAGAGCTGTAGAACATCAAGAATGAAATTAGCTAATGTCCAGAAATCTGTCAGACATGATGATCAAATCTCAAAGCAGGTAACTTGATGTAAAGTGTCCATAAATAGATCATCCTCATGGTGTTCCCCAGGGGTCAGTTTTGGGTCCCCTTCTTTTTTTGCCATGTATCTTCTCCCCTTGGGATGTAGTATTGATTTACGTTGTTACACAGACACTTGGCAGCTCTATATATCTACCTTGCCTACAGCTGCTTCTCTGGGTTTTCTCTTTTATATTGTCTTTCAGAGATAAAAAAAAAATGGATGACAATTTTGTTGATGCTTAACTCAAACCTGAGGTTCTTTTAACAGGATGTAAATCTACAATATCTCAATTGTATCTAAATATCTAAATTTGTCCTCTATAACTTTACCTTCTGGACTCTTTTTCCTCTCTTCCTTTATGTTGTATATGCATTATTGTTATAGCCTGTATATATGTATATAGCCTGGTTTCATTGAGGTATTGAAAGATGCCTGTAAATGAACTGATTATTATTATTATTATTATTATTATTATTATTATTATTATTATTATTATTGTAATGCATATTGGATCCAATATTTCTGAAATTGTTTAATTGCTGTTTTTACCAACAGGTCGACTCTAAGGACCTGATGAACTGCCTGACCAGTCGCACCATAATCACACGAGGGGAGACAGTGTCCACTCCTCTGAGCATGGAGCAGGCCTTGGATGTTCGAGACGCCTTTGTAAAGGTAAAACTTACCTTCTGTTCAGACACATCTGACCAAATCGGAGTTTATACAAAAATAAAAAATGTTCAGAATGTGATATAATGTAAACATACAGCCTATATTTATTCTGATAACATTACTGATCGTTTTTTTCTCTGTCATAGGGAATATATGGACGCCTGTTTGTGTGGATTGTCGAAAAGATTAATGCAGCAATCTACAAGCCTCCATCCCATGATCTTAAAGCGGTCCGCAGGTCCATCGGCCTGCTGGACATCTTTGGCTTTGAGAACTTTACAGTCAACAGGTCATTATCGCCTTTATCCAAAGTGCTCAGCGACATAGCTCAGTCAATCAACTCGATTTTAGTGACCAAGTTAGCCGAAGCAGTGATAGTGTATTAGATCTTTTAATTCCCAGTAAATAACACTTAGCGTAGCTTTAAAAATGTGTCTTTACTTTCATTACACTTTTTTTTAACATTATTGTTGCTTCCTTCCTGTCTAGCTTTGAGCAGCTGTGTATAAACTTCGCTAATGAGAACCTGCAGCAGTTCTTTGTTCGTCACGTCTTCAAGCTGGAGCAGGAGGAGTACAACCTGGAGAACATCAGCTGGCAGCACATCGAGTTCACCGACAACCAGGACGCCCTGGACATGATCGCCATCAAACCCATGAACATCATCTCCCTCATCGACGAGGAGAGCAAGTTCCCCAAGGTCAGAGAGAGAGAGAGCTTGTTGTTGTTGTTGTTGTTGTTGCTGCAACAAGAACAGTGATACTAAAGTCAAGCCCATAAATGTTTGGACGTCCATAAAATGATTGTTTTTGTACTATTGTATTCATCTCTCAATATGAAGAGCAGTCACTTCCAGTGAAACAAGTCATCATTAGGCTGAACATTCCAAACAAACCTATTAGAGAGACAGCACAGAACATTAATAGCGGCCAAATCAACGATTTGGTACATTCTTTAAGAAAGGAAGGCACTGGTGAGCTCAGCAACACCAAAAGGCCCAGAAGACCATAAGAAGCAACTATGGAGGAAGACAGAAGAATTCTTTCCCTGGGGAGGAAGGTTAGATGAAGGACACCCTCCAGGAGGTCAGCACATCTGTGTCAAAGTCAACAACCAAGAGAAAAATTCAGCAGAGTAAAATACACAAGATGTAAACCATTTGTAAGCCTCAAAAACAGGAAGATCAGATTTGAGTTTACCAAAAAACATCTAAAAAAGCATGTACAGTTCTGGAACAACGTCTTATGGACAGAAGAGACATGTACCAGAATGATGGGAAGAGAAGATTATGGATAAGGGGAGGAACTGCTCATGATCCAAAGCATACCGCCTCATCTGTCAAGCATGGTGGAGGTAGTGTTGGTACTGCTGTTCAACTGATTTGGTTGTAAATACTCTCAGAAGAAAGCTGCAAATCTGCACTTTGAGCTCTTATTCATTATCTAATTTAAGCTCCAGTATGCTGTGGTAGGCAGCTAAAATAACTTTGTCGGCGTCCAAATATTTACGGACCTGACTGTATTTAATAGTAATGCATTAGTGAGTCACTTAGCCAGATTTATTCATTTATTCACTTATTCACAGGGTGAACAAGCCGACAGGTAAAAGGAAAAATCATCGGGGCTTTTAGGTTCTGAAGCCAAATCTGTTCACCTCTTAGAAATTTATGAGAGAGTGAGGAAGAGCAGGACAGAAATAGAGGGAGAGATATTTTATTTAGTTTCACTCTCAGTTTCACTCTGTTTTCCCTCTGGTGCTCTTCAGGGCACAGACACCACCATGCTGAACAAGCTGAACTCCCAACACAAACTCAACACCAACTACATCCCCCCGAAAAACACCTACGAGACCCAGTTTGGAATCCAGCACTTCGCCGGCATCGTCTACTACGAGACGCGAGGTCAGGAACAGATTGGTTAAAGTCCATGTTCTCAGTGCAGCATCCTACACAGAAACTAGCATAATGGTTTTGTTTTAATGGGCCCATGTCTTAAACTTTTCTTAGATTTTTTGCCATGTGGTCTGCTCGTGATGTTTGTGCATTTTTATGTACATTTTTATGTCATAAATCATTTCTATAGGACCACTTTCCAACCCCTTTATCCCTAAGAATTAATCAGGCTGTTTTAGTTATTGGGCCTTTAAGACTGATATATTTAAATGAGCTCTGTTCTGGTGGATAGATAGATAGATAGATAGATAGATAGATAGATAGATAGATAGATAGATAGATAGATAGATAGATAGATAGATAGATAGATAGATAGATAGATAGATAGATAGATAGATAGATAGATAGATAGATAGGTAGGTAGGTAGGTAGGTAGGTAGGTAGGTGGGTGCTGTTATTGCACTTGTACAAAGCACAGTAAAGAGCAAAACAAGGGCAAACTGAACAGGAGCAAAGTATTGTCTTACAGTATTTACAGATGCATAAATAGAAAGTAAGGATAAATAATAGAATAAAATAAAAATATACTAAAAACAATAAAAATAATGTGCAGTACAAAAATAAGAAATAAATTGCATAAATATTATGCAGTTGACAGTGCAGTGGTGCACGTCCCCTCTGGTGAATGAAGAAGTGACTATGTACTGTAAACGATAACCAGTGTTAACAGTTGTGCAATATGACATTTATAGATGAATAAACAAAGTGACAGTGCAATGTGCAATATTTGTGGACAAGTAAACAAAGTGGCAGTGGAGAGACGTAGTAATGTCCAGTTGGTGCCCAGTGAGCCTGTCCTGTCAGTGGCTCAGTATAAAGTAATGTCCCGGCACAGCGACGAGGTTCTGTACAGTGCGATCACTGTTGGTACAAATGATCTCCTGTACTGTTCCTCACTACAGCAGAGCTGAATGAGTCTGTTGCTGAAGGTGCTCCGCTGTCTGACCAGTAGGTCAGGATAGCAGTGAGTTTATTAAGTGACCTCCTTTCAACCACCACCTCAAAACCATCCAGTGAGCATCCCAAGACAGAGCCAGCCTTCTTGATCAGTTTGTTGAGCTTATTTGCATCTCCCCCTCCTCTCTGCAAAGAAGACAGCACCCACAACAACAGACTGATTGGCTGCCCTGTACTGTATCTCATTAAAAAGCATTCCTGGCTGAAACAACCCTTATAGCTTCATTGTGAATGGCTTAGTTAAACTGCTATAGGCTGAAAAGGTGGCTATTTGTAAACACACAGATTTTTCATGACATCACAAAAACGATGACTTCTAAACAGGCTGTTTTTGGACTGTATGGCAGAGTGAAAGTAGAATTTGGAACTTTAAAAACAAGATTGTTTTTTGATTGAAACAATGATTGAAACATTGTTTTTCCATGATATGGGCCTTCAAAGTGTTTTAAGGTGTAAAGCGAGCGATGAGGCTCTAAACTGATTCTCTGTGATGAATAATGTCTGCAGGTTTTCTAGAGAAGAACAGAGACACCCTTCATGGTGACATCATTCAGCTCGTCCACTCTTCGAAGAACAAGTTCATTAAGCAGATCTTCCAGGCTGACGTGGCCATGGTAATGCGCTCTGTTCTGTATGTTACTCTGACTATTGTTTTTACTCAGCTTGATTCTCCTTCCAGGTCTTTGTCAGTGTGGATGTTAAAGCCAATCGGAATGTTTGCAGAAAGTGTATGTAAGTCGATGAAAGACAACCTCCTCAGTTCACATAAGATCTTAGAAATACGTCTAAAAATTGATTAACGACACTAATTCAAGACTTTACTGTTTGCCTGCTGAAAAAATAAGTCCTGTTAAGAACGTATGGATTTGGAGGCGCCTCCAGCTGTTCTCTGCTGTTTTTAGCCCTTATGGATCGTTCTGATGAATCGGTTCCAAGTCAGAATTCAAAACACATCTCAGACTTTTAACTGACTTAGACTAAAATCTGTTTACTTTGAGTGACTCTTTACCTTAATTATGTGTATTCTGTTTGACTGAACATTCCCTTTTGTCACTACCAAAACACTGAACACTACCGAAACTTTACCAAGTGTTTCAGCAGTGACTGTTTCGGTGCTGACAATTTTAGCTCTTTCTGAGTAGAACTCAAAGATGCTTACCATTACATGACTAGCAAACACAGCTTTGAACAGCTGTACACACATAAAACCATAATATGTTTCATTAAAACACAAAAAGTTACTTAATTGCAGAAAATGTGTGTTTCAGTAGTGACAATTCTTAATGTTCCACACTAATTTACAGACTTTGGCACATTAACTTCAAAACAATGGGATCTAACTGCTCACCATGTTTTTTAATTTATTTAAAAAGAAAAGCTCATCATAAATCTAAATCTTTCAGCTTCACTTTAAAAGAAATCAATTGGAATAATTTAGCTGATTAGGTCTGAATACTTAATTGTTTTTTTACACAGTTTTTTCCATTGTGGCACTGCTGTTTGAGCTAATTTGACAGAATGGTCCTACTATCACCAAAATATTTACGTTTTCTGTACAGGATGTAAAAAAAAATGATTAAATAACACTGAACCGATTTAGTTTCATGTTTATAAATATATGCCTCTAACTGTACGTGCGTTACCTCTGCTGTGGATTTCCAGGCACTTAATGATGAAAAAAGGCTACTTGAGTGCTAATAGTGCCCCCTTGTGGTAAATTTGAATTATTACTGAAACAAAGAATGTGTATTTCACAACACAAACATTAAAACATTTTTTTTCTGCAGTTAAAATGACAGTTCGTTCCATTGATATTTATACATTTTAGAGTCATTCCAAGTTGTTCATCTCCTTTGTGTGATTTGCAACATTTATAGCACCGGTGCTAAATGCTCAAAAAGTTTATGTACAGACCTGAACAGTGTTTTCTGCACTAAATGATGACTGAGGAGGTCATTTTAACTGTTTAATGTCTTTTTAGAGGTGTTCTCAGTGTTCTGATGGGTTTTCTCTCTGTCTGTGTGACGTGTCTCAGTTTCTGTGTGGTTATGTGCCTGGTGGTACGCTCGGTCAGCCGGGCACGCCTCCTCTGAAGGTAAAGCAAACAGAAAACCTCCAGCCCGTCCCTCTAACTCCACAGCCCTCCTGCCATTTTGTCCATTGTGACAGTTTATTGTTTTCCAGCATCCCAACCAGCATCACTCATCATTCACTGAACACTAACCTCACCGAGAAAACAGCCTCCATCCCAGAGCAGTGACATCACCTCCTGTTTCCTGTTGTCTTTAACCTGCAGTTTTGCACTTCTGTGCTGAACCAGATAGTATTTGCTGAAATAGCAAACATGTTTATTTATTTATTTATGATGTGGCACAGTAATTGTCTTTGTGTTCAGTCTGGATTAGAGTTCATACAAGCATGAAGAGCACAGAAGTGAACAACTCCATTCCATTCAGAGAGAAGTACAACCCCATTTCCAAAAAAGATGGGATGCTGTGCAGAATGTAAATAAAATAACAATGCAATGATATGCAAATCATGTAAACCATTTCTATAAAAGAAAATAATACAAAGACAACATATCAGATGTTGAAACTGAGAAATTTTATTGTTTTTTGAAAAATATATGCCCATTTTGAATTTGATGCCAACAACACATTCCAAAAAAGTTGGGGGCATGTTTACCACTGTGTTTCATCACCTCTTCTTTTAACAACACTGAGGAGACCGACTGCTGTAGTTTTGAAAGTGAAATGTTTTCCCATTATTGTTTGATATTGGATTTCAGCTGCTCATCAGTTCAGGGTCTCCTTTGTTGTATTTTTCATTACATGATGCACCAAATGTTTTCAGTGGTGACAGGTCTGGACTGCAGGCAGGTCAATTTAGCACCCAGACTCTTTTAATATGGAGCAATCCTGTTGTAATACATGCAGAATGTGGCTTGTTGAAATAATCAAGGCCTTCCCTGAAAAAGACGTTGTCTGTATGGCAGCATATGTTGCCAAAACATGTATATATCGTTCAGCATTAATGGTGCCCTCACAGATGTGCACGTCAACCATGCCATGTGCACTAATGCACCCCTATACCATCATGAATACTGGCTTTTGATCTGTGCAGTGATAACAAGCTGAGTGGTCTTTAACCCGGAGGACACAGCGTCCATGATTTACATAAAGAATTTCAAATGTTGACTCGTAGGACCACAGGACACTTTTCCATATCCTCTCAGTCCATTTTAAGTGAGCTCGGGCCCAGAGAAGGTGGCAGAGTTTCTGGATCCTGTTTATATTTGGTTGCTTCTTTGTGTTTTACAGTTTTAACTTGCATTTATGGATGCAGTGATGAACTGTGTTCACAGACAGTGGTTTTTAGAAGTGTTTCTGAGCCCATGCAGTGATTTCCACTACAGAATCATGTCTATTTTTAATGCAGTGCTGTCTGAGGGCCCAAAGATCACAGCCAGCAAATACTGGTTTTCAGCCTTGTCTCTTGCATACAGAGATTTCTCCAGATTCTCTGAATCTTTTAATGATATTATGTACCGTAGATGATGAAAAGCAAAAGTTCTTTGCTGTTTTACATTGTGAAACATTATTCTTAAATTGTTGCACTCTCTGAGATGCTCTTTTTATACCCAATCATGTTACTGCCAGTCAACCACCAGGTTTTTCTTTTAGCATTACACAACTTTACTTTTCTTTTGTTGTCCCTGTCTCAACTTTTTTGGAACATGTTGTTGGCATCAAATTCAAAATGGGCATATATATTTTTTAAAAAACACTAAAATGTTGTCTTTGTACTATTTTCAATGAAATGTAGGGTTTAGATGATTTGCTTATCATTGCATGTTGTTTTTATTTGCATTTTGCACAGCATCCCAACTTTTTTTTGGAAATGGGGTTATAGATCCATTTCACAGTGGCCTTTTGTCTTAGATCCTATAACATTCTGCATACAATACTGTTCTAAAGTTTGGAATCACTTGTCATGTTATTAGTTGTTATTCCATAATAACTAATATAATGTAGATTGAAATGTTATGAAATTGGCATCAAGTTAAGACATATTTTAAAAAATAGTAAAGGCTACTAAAGGGCACATATTGTATATTTTTCTTGTATTCAGTTTTTTCTGCTGAGGTCCACTTATGAGGTTTATTTGGGTTCATGTGCTTAAAACAGTCATCTTGAATTTATACATGACCATTTTCCAACCTATCTTGAACCTTAGAATGAAACAGGGTGTTTTTTGTTACTGTGCCTTTAAGACTGATATATGTAAATGAGCTCTGTTCTGCACTGCATTGCGCCTCATTCAAAAAGCAGTGCAGGCTGAAACACTACAGCTAAACTGCTGTAGGCTAAATAGGCAGATGAATCGAAAGCGTGCTGGTATTAGTGACGTCACTGAAACAGTGAATTCAAATTGAGCTGTTTTGCAGCATAGTTTTCATACATGGACTGTACAGACTCTTTCATAAACTCTTTTGTTTCAAAAAAGCGATATGAGCCCTTGAATAATAGCCTGATCCATTTGTGATCATTTCATGTCGATGCTTTTTGAATATGAGACATTTTGGATAAGAACTTTTTTGATAAGTTCATCCTCAATGCAAGTATTTCTCTGTTATTATGGAAGCGTTCTCTTTTTTCAATGCCGAGCTTTCCCTGTTATTATGGAATGATCTACAGCTCCATTCATGCTTTAAATGATCATAATTGCAAATTCTGATACTCTGCAATATTTTAAATGTATAGCATTATATTAGAATATAGTGTTTACATGTACCTGCAACACATTTGGTTTTATATTATTGAAAACAGTGATTCCAAACTTTTGAACAGCAGTGTATAATGTTTAACATCAATATTACAGCATTTACAGCATTTTGGTGTCTTACAAAAAATCCTTTTAAAGCTTTTTAGTTTATTCTATTTATATTTACAGGGACAATACACATGGATTAACATTTCTGCAAATGCGCCAGTTTAGCCAATATTCATTTTTAACATGAGCAGGTACAAAAGAACACTTTCAAAATGACAAACAGAACACATACAACATTACAGGACAACAAATATAGCACAACACCAGCTGTTAAAATGATTTACATACTATGATGATTCTTGATTGTTTTTCGCCATAATAGAAGCACTATGTTAGATTTTAGGCTAAAACTGAAAGAAGCAGCATTACTGAGTCAGAAGAATAAGAACAGGCTAAAATATGATGAGTGTGCGCTGCTGTGAGTCGCCCTGTAAAGCCTGAAATAGTCAGAGGCATCAGATCGGAGTTTTTTATGCCACATCGTTCATCTTTACATATTAATGTCACACACACATGCTCAAAAAACAGATATGGTTTGATATTTAGGTCTCAAATGCAAAATTAACTGATGAAGATGTGATGACAACAGTAGATAATTCACTCACATCCTCAGAAGTCGTGTCCTTCACCAAAATTTGACTGAGTTCTCTTTGAATTCCCTTTCAATCCTCAGATTCATCCTCTCGGGGAAGGGCTCCAAAGCACAACCCATGATACAAACAGTGTGTCCAAATTCAGGGGCTGGATCCTTGGAAAGACGCAGTCTACGAAGGTGTGTCCTTCGAAGGCTGCTTAGACCCGTGAAGGCTGAACCGAAATGAGACGGTCTGCTCTACGGCGGATTTTCTGTTTGCGTCACAGCCCCGCTGTTCCCGCCCTTACCGTTGCGCCACGAAACACCGCTCCTGTCAAGTTCTTTTAAAATTCTTTAAAGATGGAGCCAGAAAATTTGTTCCATTTTAGTTGTTTATTTTTTCATTTCTTAGAGCTGGAGATGCTTCACTGCTTACTTATATTTATATATATTTAACTTATATTTAAAAGTGAACTCTTCAGCCGCCGTTCGCTTCTCTGTTGATGCCATCATGTTCTCGAATCCTCGCCGACACGCATTGAACCTCGGGATATGTTGGCTGGCGAAGGATCCACCCATTGGATCCTTTGTTTCCATGGAAAAGAAGGACACATTTCTCAGCTGCATATGAAGGAGCCTTTGAAATGGGACAGTCTAGTCGCGCCACTGTGATGCAATCGGTCCTTCAAATGCAGCCTCCGAAGGACGCAGCCCCTGAACTGGGACACACTGAAAGTGTGCTTCTGCACATTGCATGCAGTTACACATTTCCACCAGAGAGGTCTCCAAATCCCAAAATCTACAGAGTGTAGCTTTGAATTAGTTAAAAAAAAGCCTCCTATATATCCCTACAGCTCATTCCCAGTGTGAGCTGCTCTTACTGAAAAAACTGACTATCCAGAGATTAAAAAATTTGAAGTAATATTGTCAACAGTAAGTAAATTGAAAAATTGTTTTGATGTAGTGTGAACAAAAACGTAGCTCTAAAATGACAACTTTACAGGAGTCACCCTAATTACTGATTACTTTTAATGTAAATTACTATAAATGGAGTTTATTACAAAATATTTTGGAGCATTTATTGGTCCATTCATCCTGAAATTCTCACACAGTGTAAAGGGCAGCTGGTGCTCAAGTGATGTAGAAGAATAAAATCTGAAAAAAATTGGACACTGATGATACTAATTCATGTAGAAATTATGTTCACATTTGAATCAAGTCAGTTAAATGCAGCCCCTTTTACAGAATGGCATGATAGAATAGAAACATGATACACATTTATATTTAAAATATAGTTTTATATATATTTTTTACTAGTATGGCTCTTTAATTCATATCCATTGGGTGACAGCATGACTGAAGTCGTAACCCTGAGGACCTCTTTTGTTCTCCGTAACCCCTGAAGCATACAGAAATAATGCTGTCCATTTAGCGGGATAATGAATCTGTCAGAGACAACCTGAGGACAAACACTTTCCCGTGAGAGAATAAAAGAAATGTGATTACAGGAAGAGAGTTTTTGGGGTGGGCCGAGACAGAGAGGGATAGAGGCAGAGGAAAGGAAGGGCCTAAAGGAATCCTCTCTGTCTCTGTTTCCCACCATTCCTGACTCGCTGTTTTTCTCTGTGTCCGTGTGTGTGTGTGTTTCCTGGAGTGCAGGGGGCAGAGACGAGGAAGCGTTCTCCAACGCTGAGCAGTCAGTTCAAACGTTCTCTGGAGCTGCTGATGCGCACGCTGAGCGTGTGTCAGCCTTTCTTCGTGCGCTGCATCAAACCAAATGAGTACAAGAAGCCCATGGTGAGTCCCACTGCTCTTATCTGTACATCTTACATCATAGATTACTAATAAAGCGATGCATTGAATGTACAGTCATGTGCAGAAGTTTGGGCGCCCCTACTTAAATGACATGTTTTGTTGATTTTATAAGTGGAAATAAGTTAACACACCCTCTACAGGAAACATGCTTAAAAAGGGCAAATTTTGCTGCTGTCAGAACAAAACCTTGTATCTCCACTTTTGTCGTTTTCCAGTTTTTGACATAATTTGAAAATGCCTGTTGTCCTTTACATTGTGTGTAAATTTCATAACGAATGGGCCAAAAGAAACGGCCCAAAATTACTTGGAAATACATCTGGTTCCATTGACTTACATTAACAGTAAAGTAAGTTTTTTCCTTCTCCTGTAAAATTACCGTTTTCGAGGTTTTATTCTGGCAACAGTGAAATTTTTATGTGCAGTTACTATTTTTTGTTGAAGTGAATTTAACATTTAACATTTCCAACAAAACATAAAAGGTGCCATAACTTTTGCACAGGCCTCATTTTATGTTTTATTTTCCCCCAATATGTTAAATTGAGCAAATAAACAGTAATTGTACATTGAAATGTGCAGAAGTGTGTTCTCTGTAGAGGATGTAGAGGAGCTTTTATTCTCTTAGAAAATCAACAAAACAACATTTGACCAGGGGTGCACAAACTTCTGCATATGACTGTTTAACCACTGAATAAATACTGAAGAACCCTTGAAAGACCCACTTTTTAACTGTGTAGTTATGAAGTGAAGGGCAAAATACAGGCCTTTACATTTAAGAGGCTTAAAAGTGTGCTATGGAAATGAAGTTGAAGCTGTTATTATGATTATTAGTATTGCTGTTATTACTAAGATTAAGATTAAGATTAAGTGACGCTTTTAGTCCCACAATGGGAAAATTTCACCTCCGCAATCTAACCCATCTGTGCAGTGAAACACCACATACACACTAGTGAACACACACACTAGGGGGCAGTGAGCACACTTGCCTGGAGTAGTGGTCAGCGCCAGGGGAGAAGTTGGGGGTTAGGTGCCTTGCTCAAGGGCACCTCAGTCACGTAGTTTAGGCTCAGGGGATCGAACCAGCGACCTGGTTCCCTAACCTCCAGCCCACGACTGCCCCCAGATGCTTACTGTGGGTCAGATGAAGTTATTCCCAGCTAGCAAGGAACGTTCCCTCGTAAGGTTACCTAGAAGTTCAAATAATGTTTAAAGAAAACCTTTTAATCTAATGTTCAGAGAACGTTTTAAGGATGTTTAGCATTTCAAGTAATGTTCCAATAAGGTTGCATGTTAACTAAGACAACATTTGGGGGATGTTTTAAGGTTGTTGTCAGGGCAACAGATTATGTTGCATGATGATGTTTTTTTAAGGAATGTTCCCTACAAAAAAAAGCTTCCTGCTGAAAACATTAATAGAACATATGTAATATTCTCAGAACTAAAAGATTTCTAGCTGGGTTGGCGAATCAAAGTGCATCCGTCAGCATGAATATTAAACTTATAAACTAACAAGAACTTCAGATTTGTTGAAAATGTAGCTTTGGTGTTGCTGTTTGAGTTTCTTTGCACAGTCAATTATTTAAAGGCGTGTTTGACGTTTTCCTCCCCTCGCAGCTGTTTGACAGGGAGCTGTGTGTGAGGCAGCTCCGCTACTCCGGAATGATGGAAACGATCCGGATCCGTCGGGCCGGATACCCCATCCGCTACACCTTTGTGGAGTTTGTGGATCGATATCGCGTCCTGATGCCTGGAGTGAAGCCTGCATACAAACAGGTGAATGAAGAGACTTACTTACATGGTTTCTGGCCCTGTATGACGCATGGTGTCTGTAAAGATGAACAATAACATACACTCTTAAAAGAGATGGTTCTGCAAGGGTTCTTTAGTAATGAAAATGGTTCTATATAGAACCATGAACACTCACAGAACCCTTTGCATGATTAAAGAGTTCTTTGCGTTGTGCTGTAGATGGTTCCAAACGTGTAGTCTGATCTTCAGAGTCTGACCAAATCGGACTGAGCCATAAAACTGCCGCAATATCAAGTTCAGCTCAGTTTTGTCAGTTTTTGCCAGATCAGTATTAATGTTGTTTTGTTCCAGCCAGTCTGTAAAGCATCTTACAGCCCATTTAGTTTGGCGAATGGTGTTGGGTTCATTTCTGGCTGATTCCAGGTTGTTTAGCTGTTCTTCTGTCAGAGCTGCCGACTGAAAAGCTGCTCAGTGGTGATGACAGTTTGGGAATTTAGTGTAGTCTCATCTTCAGAGTCTGACCAAATCGGCTATCGGTCAAATGTGATCTTAAAAATGTCCATTTTCTGTTTGTGGCAAAGTAAGAAGTAAAAATGTTCAAATGTCTTGAGCGTCTCCTACAGCTGTCAAAGTCGTTGCTTAGCAACGGCATCTCAGCGGAGTGATACAGTGTTTGTGAAAAAAAACGTGATGTTATGGCGAAATATCAGCACAGTTAGAACGCTTCTCAACCAATCAGCTTGCATGGCCGGAACTAACTGTTGCATAAATGGTGGTATAAACTCTCAGTACTTGTTAACTTGATTAGCCTTGTAGCTTCGGTGCAAAACAAAAGAAGTAACCTTCAGACACCAAACACAATAAAGTTCATTTTTACTCAACTGTTGCTTCAAACAGATTCACTCTGAACAGATCAAAGTCTGTCAAAGATCTGACAATGTTCATTGTGCTGGTATACAGGATTATACAGGATTACCTTACAACCCCATGTGTCAAACACAAGGCCCACAGGCCAGGTCAGGCCCGTGGTGCAATCCTATTCGGCCTGCAAAATTATTTCAATTTTCTGTTAACATTAGCCCATTTCAACATGCGCTGCACTACAGTTCCCAGCACGCACTGCAACGTAATGTGTCCTCCCGCCCCCTCCCCAACAGCAATCTAAGGGACAGCACCACAAAAACAAACAAAAAAAGGTGGCAGGTGTCCAGTTCAAGCGAATGGGCAGTTTTAAAAACCTGCTGTACACTGGGGACATTTAAAGGGGTTTACTTATCTGCAGCTAATGTGGTTTATTGTTTTATATAAAACTATTTTGAACCGTTTAAGTATTTAGTGCTAGTGCCTATTTTTGTTTTCGTTGTAGTTTTGGCATATTTTTAACAAGTTATGGCAAAATGATAAGTAAAAATAATATAAAAACACAGCTGCCCACGGATCTGTTGAGGTTTTTTAATATGGCCCCTTTAGTGGTTGAGTTTGACACCCCTGCCTTACACTGTCCACTGACGAGAAACGTCCGTTCTAATATTCTGTAGTTGTTTGTGGTGCTGCGAGACCTTTGTATGACTAAAGCACACCAAGCTGATGTAAGCGGTCATGTAATGGTCACGTAAGTGCCAATTCATCCTGCTTTTTGTTTGCTCTCTTCAAGGAGGACCTGAGAGGGACCTGCCAGCGGATTGCCGAGGCCGTCCTTGGCAGAGACGATGACTGGCAGATGGGAAAGACCAAAATTTTCCTGAAGGTATTCCGGCCAAGCGCCTCCCAGCATTACATCACACTTCCAGGAACTAGTTATGGAAGTGGCTCATACTAATAGTGACCACGGTCAAACCTGTGTGAAGAGAGGGAGAGAGACAGAGAGAGAGACAGAGAGACAGAGAGACAGAGACATTTCATAATGAGAAGTGACAGTGCAGTGAAAGGGTCCCCCCACGTTTTAGTACATTAGTTTCATAGTAGATACATAGTTACTGAAAAATTTGTAGTAGTTCTGAATTATTCATTATATTTGTTGAATAATTTGTAGTAGTTGTTGAATAATTCACAATATTTATTGAATAGTTTGTAGTAGTTATTAAATAATTCACAATATTTATTGAATAATTTATAGTAGTTATTGAATAATTCATAATAGTCAATGAATAATTTCTCATAATTATTGAATAATAATAGTTAATGAATAATTTGTAGTAGTTATTGAATAATTCATCATAGTTACTGAATAATTTGTCATAGTTACTGAATATTTAATAGTAGTCACTGAATAATACAAATTGGTTACTGTATAATTCAAAGTAATTATTAAATATGTCATAATTGTTACAGAATAATTTATAATTGTACTGAATAATTTGTAGTAATTATTGAATAATTCATAGTAGTTACTAAAAAATATTTTAAGCTCAGTAACCAAACCAAAAGGTATTGGGGCTTAATTTTCATTACTTATGATTAATATATCGCCACTGTCAGAAGAAAACCTCGTATCTCCATTTTTGACATTTTTCAGTTTTTGACATAATTTGAAAAATTTCGTGATTAATGGACCAAAAGAAATGACCCGAAATTACTTGGAAAGTAAGTCTGGTTCCATTGACTGAAGTAAAGTAGGCTTTGTCCTTCTCCTGCAACATACATTATTCATAATGATGAAATTATGACACTGAGGGTTTCTCATCAAAGAGCTGGACACAAGCGTGGAAATGTCTGCTCAGTGTTGTGTTAGTTATGTGGTCATGTGCTTCTCTCTGCCAGCAAGATCGTGTTTTGTGTTTTGCCATCCGGAAAGAAACCCAAAGCACAGGTCAGAGGTCAGCAGAGAGTTTGTCCGTTGCCCGGGTTTTCCACGCTGGAGTGCTTTATCAGGCCTCTCAGCTCACAGCAACAGGAAACCCCCTCAGCAAGAGTAAAGAGAGGGCACTGCCAACACTTCCTAACAGGAAGCGACAGCATCAGAGCAGGATCATGGGAGATGTTCTACAAATCAATCAGGAGCTGCTTCTAAACGCGTCTGATTGTTATTTATCCGTACTGTTTTTCATGGAGAGTCCTGTTCATTTGTCATGTGTCCTGCACTCTGGAGTCCAGCAGGGTCTCCACTGCGATGATGAGTGTTTCGCTGTGTTTGACAGGATCATCATGACATGCTGCTGGAGATCGAGCGAGACAAGGCCATCACTGACAAGGTCATCCTCATCCAGAAAGTAGTCCGGGGTTTTAAAGACAGGTACGACCAAACGCGTTTACTCTTTTATTTCATTCATTGAAAGAAAAAAGTTATCCAACACCAACTGGCCCTGTGTGAAAAAGTAATTGCCCCCTTAGTGGCCAAATTAAGCACAGCAAGGCATGTTTTTTTTATTTAGCCATTTCATGCGCAAAGGCAATTGCATGTACTTTTATCAAATAAATAAAAGCAAAAGGAACATCAAAAGGAAAAATAGACGAAGTCCTCAAAAATAAAAAAAAACAACAAAAAATACTGTAAGACAGTAAAAAGTGCTATAGCTTAAATATCTGAAACAAATCATTAAAAGGATGAACTAAGTGCATAAAAGCAAGATCAAAACACGAAAAGAAACTGAATACAAAGGGTGTACGTTATTAAATGAAATCAATTCTGCAAAGAATACTAAATACAGATGGTCTACAGATGTTTGTGCCGGTGGAGGTGGCTGATTTAGGAGGTTATTTACCTATAAAAAAAATGACTTTTAATTTTACCTGACCCATAACTATGTTCATTTAAAAAAAAACATCAGTGAACACGTACGCATTTAACAGATTTACATCTATATGTATCTGGCAATATCAATTAACAGTATTATTTTTGTGAGCACCACAGTGTTACAGCATTAACCAATCGAATGAATGAATGACGAATGAATAAATAAATAAAAATCCAGTGTGAAAAGTCTGCGTTAAAGTCTTCAAAACACTGAAACATGAATCATCAGAAGAAAAACAATTAAAATGTTCGTATTAAAATGTTTAAGCCTTTTCTAACTTTTAGTTACTGATCCCATGATGCTGTGCGCTACAGCTCATGGTAAAACTTTAAAATTTGCTGTATTATTATAGAAAATATCTTGATTTGGTTACAAAGAGAAAGATAAATGCAGTATTTTATTGTGAAAAATGTTTAAATATGGTGAAATCTTGGCTGTAATAATAATAATAATAAGCAGTGTACGGTCCCCAGTAATGGAAATAATAACTGCTGTGTTCACACATACACACACAATCTAAGCTGCTTATCCTTCTGTGTCACGGTCGGGTGCTGAAGCCTATCCCAGTGGTCATTGGGTGGAAGACGGGAAACACCCTGGACAGGTTGCCGGTCCATCACAGGGCAGACAGACAGACATATACTGTACATTCACACCTAGGGGCAATTTAGCATGTCCAATTGGCCTGACTGCATGTCTTTGGACTGTGGGAGGAAACCCACACGGGGAGAACATGCAAACTCCACACAGAGAGGACCCTGGTTGACCGGCCGGGGGACCGAACCCAGGCCCTGCTTGCTGTGAGGCAACAGTGCTACCCACTGCACCACAGTGCTGCCCTGCTGTGTTCATACCACTATTATTCTTTTTAACAGATCCAACTTCCTTAAAATGAAGAGAGCAGCTCTGATGATCCAGAAAACTTGGAGAGGTTACTACTGCCGGAAGAACTACGATGCGGTGAGTCACGATGAACTTCGCAGTTAATTCTCTGGTTTCCTGGAAGCCTCATCAGGGACTTATTTGCGGTGCAACGTTTGACTGTTGAAAATCATTTTGAGTCTACATTCAAGCTTAATCCGGGTCTGGGAAACCAGCCCAAAGAGCAACTGCTCACAGTAATTTGACTATTCACAGGCTCTTGAGCTGCCTGCCATGCTGATGTCCCTGTGTGCCTTCCTGTCCTGCAGATGCGTGCTGGCTTCTCTCGGCTCCAGGCCCTGTATCGCTCGCGGAAGCTCTATCAGACGTACCATGTGGCCCGGCAGAGGATTACACTGTTCCAGGCCCGCTGCAGAGGCTGCCTGGTGCGCCGTGCCTTCAGGCACCGCCTCTGGGCTGTTATCACCATCCAGGCCTACACCAGGGGCATGATCGCCCGCCGCCTCTACAAGAGACTCAAAGGAGAGGTAAAGCAGAGGACCAGAATAAAAGTACTTTGTGTTGGTCTTAGGCACCTAAGCACATTATTAAAAGCCAGTTATCTTAGCAATAATTTATAAAAACACCATATATTACTGGAATAAAAGCAAATAAACATGAACATTGTAAAAAATACTGTGCAGGTACATCTTTATTCATCAAGGTACAAACGATGTAAAGTTCCCTCAAAGGTATAACAATGGATTTAAGGTCCAATTGGGCACCTTAAATGTTTTTTTTTCCCAGGGGAAATGGACATATTGTACTTTTTCATAACCTAATGTTTTAAAACAGAACAATAAAAATAAAAAAGCCTGGAGTAAAGACAGAGTGTGTAGTCTGTACAACTTAAAAATGTACTATGATTGGAATGGATTATGGTACAGTTATGTTCCCTGACTAAAGGTACTGAGATGGACCCTTGAGGGTACCATGCCAGTGACAAGAGGGGACCTGCCACAGTGACAGTTGGATCTATATTAAAAAAAAAACGTTTGGATCTATATTTTAAAAAGTTTGGATCCATATTAAAAAAGTTTGGATCCATATTAAAAAAGTTTGGATCCATATTAAAAGAAAGTTTGGATCCATATTAAAAAAGTTTGGATCCATATTAAAAGAAAGTTTGGATCCATATTAAAAAAGTTTGGATCCATATTAAAAAACTTTGGATCCATATTAAAAGAAAGTTTGGATCCATATTAAAAAAGTTTGGATCCATATTAAAAAACTTTGGATCCATATTATTTTTATACTTACATTTATTGTAATGTAAGTATTTTTTAAAATAAATGGCTTTTTAAATCTAATTTACCCAGGTGTTCTTAGTATATTTTCATAGTATATTACCATTAAAATTTTTGGAAACAATATTTTTCAATAATATAAAACCTATTTGGTTGCAGATAAATGCATACAATGCCTCTATTATGCTCATCTTTCAACTTTACAGGTTTCAATTACTTAATAGGAAGCTAGAAAGAAAAAATGTTAGATTAATGAACAGAGCTGCACAGTGTAAACGGGGTAGCCAGTCAGAACAGAGCTCATTTACATATATTAGTCTTATAGGCACATAAACAAAAACAGTCTGCAATAAAACTTATAAAAAAGTAATAAATATGAATAAATAAATATATAAAAAATGTATTTCAAGTGGTGATTAAATCTCAAGGCCAATAACTTAGTATAGTATTTAAATCTACATTGTTCAAGTAATTATTGCATTGAAAACTACAAAGATTATTAAAATTATGAGTGATTCCGAACACCTGAAGGGTATTGTATCTGACCTCACTCAGCTCGATCTCTTTTACTCTCTCTCTTTCCACTCATCCTCTCTTCTCCAGTACCGGAGGCGTCTGGAGGCAGAGAAGATGCGTCTGGCTGAGGAGGAGAAGCTGAGGAACCAGATGAGCGCCAAGCGGGCCAAAGCTGAGGCGGAACGTAAACACCAGGAGCGTCTGGCCCAGCTGGCTCGGGAGGACGCCGAGCGGGAGAAGAAGGAGAAAGAGGAGGCGCGCAGGAAGAAGGAGATGCTAGAGCAGATGGAGAAAGCACGCCATGAGCCTGTGAATGACTCAGACATGGTGGATAAGATGTTTGGGTTTCTGGGTACCACCAATTCCTTCCCTGGGCAGGAGGGCCAGGCGCCGGCCGGGTTTGAGGTGAGAGAGTGAGTGAAGAGTGCTCACTTTTGGTGAGACTAGTCCTGTCTCAATTTGCACTAAACAGAAACGACTGCATGGTACCTCGTGCCATTGAATCACACCTCCATGCAAACAGCCTTAAATTTTAAAGGGCCCAAATCATGGAAAACAGAATTTCCCTCACTTAATTGAAATAAAACAGTTTGATGCAGTATGTAAACCATTTTAAAGTTTTAAAACATCTATCCAGTCCATAAATGGAAACTAAGCTGCAAACTCTTTTTGTGATGTCACAGAAACAATGCATTTATGTATATATATATATATATATATATATATATACACACACACACACACACACCTATTTTAGTCTATAGCAGTGAAGCCTCGCCAATTTAAGCTGAAGTTAGAGAAGTTAGAAGGTGCGTTTCAGTACAGACTACTTTCTGAAAGAGGCACAATACAGGGCAGCCAATCAGAACAGAGCTCATTTACATATATTAGTCGTAAGGGCACATGAACAATAAAACAGCCAGTTCAGTTCTAATGGATAAAGCGAGGTTGGAAAATGGTCATGTAAAAAGTTATTATGACTGTTTTTATACCCACACAAATATTATATGTAAACCTCTTATAAAAAATATATATATATATATATATATATATATATATATATATATATATATATATATATATATATGTGTGTGTATATATACATATATATATATATATATCAGAAGTAAGATATAGGCCATTAAAAATGGATGTGTGTATTTCGTGCTTTAGGACCTGGAGCGCACTCAGAAGGAGCTGGAGGAAGAGGATCTGGATGAAGCTCTTCCTCTGCCTGAGGAAGAGGAGGAGGACCTGTCTGAGTATAAATTTGCCAAGTTTTCTGCCACCTACTTCCAGGGCACCAGCACACACACTTACATGCGCCGTCCGCTCAAACAGCCTCTGCTGTTTCACGAGGACGAGGGTGATCAGCTGGTATGTAAACCCTGAATCTCCCTTCTTTGATTACCAGGCAATATAACACAATACACTGTAATGCAATGTGCTGAAAAAAGGAAGACCAGAGAAATCAATGTCTTCTGTGTTGGCCAGGCGCCAGGGAGTCTAAAATTAATAAGTTCCTAAGGAGCTTATGTGCAAAATCATAATTTATAATCCTTCTTATACAGGAAAATGAACTCTTTCTCAACACAGAATGATAAAAAATATTTTAGCATACCATAACTGTGCGAAGACAAACAAGTATCTCCAGAATGGCAACTTTACAGGAGAGAGGAAAAATAGGTAACACTTTCTATGAATGTCGCATTTGTAAGCATCTATAAACACATTTATAACATGTTATAATGTATTCATAAGGCATTATAAACGTGGGTATAAATATTTATAAAAAGAATTACACTGAATAACTATAGCCATGTTTATTATACATTATGAATTGTTAATATAATGCATTATAAATAGTGTTAATAACATGTTATACTGTCAGTGCCAAAGAAGTCAGTCCCAGCTTGGAGAGCGTAAAGTAAAGACAAATACCAAGCTAACGGTGGTGAACATTACCTTTCCCACATTGGGTAAAACACTGATGGCAGCTCTAGTTTAAACTCTGACATTTGAAGCCTGTAATGTGCTTTACTGTGTATGTTTTAGTGTTTCAGTAAATCCTTCAGTAAATACTTCAACTTGAAGCCTCACTCTGAACACTGGAGGAGGCTTTAGTACAGTACGCTTCACTTTACTTAGAGAGGACAAATACAACTTATGAGCTCTTATAATTTATGATTAGTACTTATAATGTAGTATGTTAACAATTCATAATGCATAATAAGCATGGCTATAACGTATAATGCATTTTTATAAATATTTATAGCCATGTTTATAATGTCTTATGAATGCATTGTAACATGTTATGAAAGTGTTTATAGATGCTTACAAAGGTGACATTTATAGAAAGTGTTACCGAAAAATGTTCTTAACTTTTAATGTAAAGGGATTTTCAATTTTGGAGCATTTCTATTGGTCCATTCATCATGAAATTTTCACATAATGTAAAGGGCAGCTGCTGAGCTCAAATGATGTAGAAAAATAAAAACTGCACAAAATGGATATATATGTTTTTTTGTTCACAGCAATATATTTAAGCACAAAACTGCAGTTGTAGGACTTTTTTTTACGTTCTTCTTTAATCACCACAATAAGAACATGTACAAACACAGGAATTTTAGTTGCAGTGTTTGGAGGTATAAAAGATAATAAAAACTGCATATTCAGCATATATTCATATTTAATACTACACATAATTCAGTAATACTTTAGCTATAGGACTTTCTAACAGTAACTTATGCCCATGCATGACATCAGTGACTGCAAACCATGTTACATGGCCAATGAACTGATCTGCCCATCAGCCGATCAGCATTCAGTAGCAGTAGTCCCCACCAGTCAGCACTCAGTAGCAGTAATTCTAGCCTCATACTGGCCAAAACCTTTTTGCTGTAGAAATACAGAAATTCATTTATTTTTTTAATGTAAGTTCCTGCTTGAGTGGCTAGAAACGTTTAGTTTTTCGCTTGTAGTCGTTTAGCTCCATTCACCTCCATTCATTGAGGACTTCCTCGTGGGTGCTCTCCAGCGTTCAGCAGCCATGTTTTTGGTGTTGTAAGGGGAATAGGAGATGACCAGAGTCCCTTTAAACTGGCTCTGGCAATACATTGAATTTACGTGATTCAAACTCAAAGGCAAGATATATAATATTATTGATTAATGTAATAATTATGTACACATTTGAATCAAGTAAAGATGGTGCATTACCTCTTTCAGTGTACTAGGTGTGCTTTTTGTTTGTGCACATTTTGCATCAGATTGTATCGAATGAGAATGTTTGTTATTGGGATGGTCAGCTCTGCTCAGTGTTTGTGGTGAGTGGGTTGTGGGTGAGAGGTTTTGGTTCTGTGTCCTGCAGGCTGCGCTGGCGGTGTGGATCACAGTCCTGCGCTTCATGGGTGACCTTCCAGAACCCAAATACCACACGGCCATCAGCGACGGCAGCGAGAAAATCCCCTGTCATGACCAAGATCTACGAGACACTGGGCAAGAAAACCTACAAGAGAGAACTGCAGGCCCTGCAGGGCGAGGGAGAGGTGAGGGGACAGGGGGACGTGTGAAGGTGTGAAGTAAACAAAAATGATGAGTCATAGAGGAAGATTGAACGAGGATGTGGCAAGACGGAGTGCTGTAAGTGAGATATTGGCACTTGTTCTGTAAACGTGGGCATGAGGCCGAAGGCAGAGTAGATCAGCACACTAGTGTCAGTATCTCACGGAGCTGAAGAATCTTGAGTGCATGATTGAGATTATACCATATATTCATCATTGATATTGATTATTTAAGACTATCGTAACATAAAAACGGCAGAAAAGAACGTTTGTTTACATTCTGCAAAGAAAAGTAGTTTCATTAAAGCCCCATGAAACCTAAATCTGATTTTCTTTCTAAGAAGGTTCATTCTGTTCTTGTGGGCTCACAACATATACAAAGTATGTCCAGTTAATGACCTTCCAATCAAACAAATGGCCAGTCTTCACTTTTTTTGATGTAAACTGGGTGGTCCTGATTTTGGGTAATGATTTGAAAGATCACCGATGCAAACTTAGGCAAGAAGATAAAGTAATAATGTTGCTTTTGAGTATTTGAGTGCTTTAGTTATTTGCATGTATAATCATTAAAGAATACCATCAGTGTCCACTTTATTATTAGACACCCTACCTTGTACTTAAACTTGACCACTTTATAAACCCCACCTACCTTATAGCTCCACCATATAGGACTGTAGCCCATCTGTTGATTCTCAGTTTATCAGCTTCCTCTACCACATTCATTATTGGTCAGTTTCTGACCAAAGGACCACTCTTGTCCAGTCTTGTCTTATTTGAGTGGTGGTCCATTCTCAGCGCAGCGGTGACACTGAGATAGTATTGTATGCTGGTGCACATACACATCAGTGTTGCTGTACTGCAAAAAATTGCATCTTGTCAAGTGAAATTATCTTATTTCTAGTCGATATATCTAATATTTCTTATTTTTAGATGGTTTTGCATTTAATTATAAGATTATTTTGCTTATTTCTAGACATTTTTTACTTGTTTTCAGTAATTTTATTGAGTAAAATGGTCTCATTGTACTGGCAGATAATTTAGCTGCTTTCAAGCTCATTTATTAAAACCAGCAAAATTTTCTGCCAATATAGTGAGATAATTTTACTTAATGAAATCACTTAAAACAAGTAAAAAATGTTTGGAAATAAGTGAAATAATCTTAAAATAAGCTTACAACAATCTCAACAGGAGAAATATTAGATATATTGACTGGATTTAAGATCATTTTACTTGACAAGACACTATTTTTTGCAGCATGGAGTTTTTACATACTTCACTGTCAGTGTTTGGTTGAGAGTGGACCGCCACCCAAAAATATCCAACCAAGATCAACTCTATGGTGAGAAACTGGTTCACGAAATTGTGCATTAACAGATAAACTACAGTCTCTAACTGTCCACCAGCAAGTTGGAGCTATAAGAAAAGGGTTTCTGACAAAGTGGCCAGTTAGTGTTGTGTTTTAGGTCAACCTTTCCTGTAGTTGTGAGTGATTAAGCTTCATACATCTTGGTGTAGTATTTAATAGATGAACACTAAATACTGGTGTAATGAATTTGCATGTGACTAAAGATGTTATAGATTTGTGCGACCCCAGCAGCCAAGAATGTATGAAGTGGGTTTTATAAATCATGACTACCAGTCGATTGTGCTTTGCTGAATCAAGCTATTTTTCACATAATGTAACCAACTAACAGAAATTTTAGACTGTGAAACATTAACACTTTGAACACTCTGTTCAAATCCCATTGTGCACAACTCACTACAGCACTAACATCAGGGATGCTGAAGAGCTTCTGGCTGAGAAACATCAGAGGTTATACACCGATCAGGCATAACATTATGACCACCTCCTTGTTTCTACACTCACTGTCCATTTTATCAGGTCCACTTACTATATAGGTGCACTTTGTAGTTCTACAGTTACAGACTGTAGTCCATCTCTTTCTCTGTGTACTTTGTTAGCCCCCTTTTACCCTGTTCTTCAGTGGTCAGGACCCCCATGGACCCTCTCAGCGGGTACTATTTGGGTGGCGGATCGTTCTCAGCACTGCAGTAACACTGACGTGGTGGTGGTTTGTTGGTTACTTACCTGGCAGGGGCGACACCATGATCACGAAGGTGGTTCACCGAGGCTCGGCCATTGCAGTTCGGTTGTGCTGACCCTTGCAAATTCCCCAAATGCGGGAATCTCGACTGCATAATTTCTGGTAGTGGAGGACTGCGTTCACGCTCTCCCCTGACTTAGGGGTAGTTGGGGGCTGGAGGTTAGGGAACCAGCCTTGTAACCGGAAGGTCACCGGTTCGATCCCCTCAGCTGACAGTACGTGACTGAAGTGCCCTTGAGCAAGGCACCTAACCCCCAACTGCTCCCCGGGCGCCGTGGATAGGGCTGCCCACCGCTCTGAGCAAGTATGCTCACTGCCCCCTAGTGTGTGCGTGTTCACTAGTGTGTATGTTGTGTTTCACTGCACGGATGGGTTAAATGCGGAGGTCTAATTCCGATGTGGTCAGACACAGTTGGCTAAAAAGATTCATTTCATTTCATTAGTGTGTGTTGTGCTGGTACGATCAGACACAGCAGTGCTGCTGGAGTTTTTGAACACTGTGTCCACTCACTGTCCACTCTATTAGACACTCCTACCTTGTCAGTCCACCTTGTAGATGTAAAGTCAGAGACAATAGCTCATCTGCTGCTGCACAGTTTGTGGTCACAGGACGCTGCCCACAGGACGCTGTTGGCTGGATATTTTTGGTTGGTGGACTATTCTCAGTCCAGCAGTGACACTGAGGTGTTTAGAAACTCCAGCAGCACTGTCTGATCCACTCAGACCAGCGCAACACAAACTAACACACCATCACCACATCAGTGTTACTGCAGAGCTGAGAATGATCCACCGCCCAAATAGTACCTGCTCTGTGAGGGACCATGGGGGTCCTGACCACTGAAGAACAGGGTAAAAGGGGGCTAACAAAGTATGCAGAGAAACAGATGGACTACAGTCTGTAAAAAGTGCACCTATATAGTAAGTGGAGCTGATAAAATGGACAATGAGCGTAGAAACAAGGAGGTGGTCATCATGTTATGTCTGATCGGTGTACATTTATTTCATAGTTGCATTGCAGATAAATCAAGATAAATTAAGTGAATGTCTACTGACATATGGTACTTAACCATTTTCTCATTTTTACTGTTTCCATTACATTTCAGTACTGAATCTGGGCCTCTGTAGTGAGTCTTGCTGCTTCATGCTGCGGTCCAGCTGCTTCATGATTTATAAATTTCCTCCATGTCCCCCCCTCCCTCCTTCTTACAGAACGCTCACATTGACAGTCATAAGAAGAACAGTGTGCGTCACAAGCTAGTGTCCCTCACCCTTAAGAAGAAGTCAAAGATTACTGAGGAGGTGAGTTGGCAGTGTGGTTGCCATGGGAACGCGGTCTCATGATGACGCTCATGCAGGGTTTTTGGCTTTGTTCAGCTCTGTCTTACCTCGTAGAAGGCATAATTTCACCTTTGAACATTTCTATTTATATTCAATATAATATAGTGCTGTGAAGAAGTATTTGCCCCCTTCCCAGTTTCTTCTATTGCATATTTGCCACACTTCAGTGTTTCAGATCATCAGACTCCTTTTAATATTCGACAATGGTAACCTAAACACAAAATGCTGTTTTTAAATGATGATTTCATTTATTGAAGGAAAAATGCTGTTCAGACCCTACCTGGACCCATGTGAAAAAGTAATTGCCCCCTTAGCTACTAAATCAACTAGTTAACCAAATTCAGTTGATTATCGGGTTCAGTTTCACTGGTCACACCCGGGTATGATTACTGCCAGACCTGTTGAATCTAAACATCACTTAAATAGAACTTGTCTGGCAAAGTGAAGCAGCTAGAAGGTCTCAAAAAGCAGCACATGATGCCACATCCTAAAGAGATTCAAATACAGATGTAATACAAAGTCATTGAAATCTACCAGTCTGGAAAGAGTTACACAGCCATTGCTAAGGCTCTGGAACCCCATGAACCACAGTGAGAGCCATTATCCATGGTGGTGAACCGTCCCAGGAGTGGCTGGCCTACCAAAATTTCATCAAGAGCACATTGATGACTCATCCAGGAGGTCACAAAAGAACTCAGATGAACATCTACAGAGCTACAGGCCCCACTTGCCTCAGTTATGGTCAGTGTACATGATTCCACAATAGGAAAGGCGGCGGGCAAAAATGGCATCCATGGGAGAGTTGCGAGGGGCAAATCACTGCTGACCAAAAAGAACACAAAGTTTTGAGTCACATTTGCCAAAAAAAAACATGAAGATGACCCCCCAAGACTTTTGGGGCAATATTCTGGGGACTGAAGAGTCAAAAGTGGAACTTGTTGGAAGACATGGATCCCATTACATCTGGGGCAAAGCTAACACCGCATTCCATCATAAGAACATCATACCAACAGTGATACACGGTGGTGGTAGTGTGATGGTCTGGGGCTGCTTTACTTCTGCAGGACCTGGATGACTTGTCATAATTGGTGGAGCCATGAATTCTGCTCTCTATCAGTCAGTTTGTGACCTAACGCTCAAGTGCATTTGGGTTATGCAGCAGGACAATAATCTGAAGCACACAAGCAAAACATCACACAACACCAAAATTCTTCCACAATGATGTAAAAGACTCATCGCGAGTTAGCGCAATTGTTTGATTGCAGCTGTTTCTGCCAAGGGTGGCACAACCAGTTATAAGGTTTAGGGGTCAATTACTTTTTCACATGGGTGATAAATAGATCTTCAATAAATGGAATGATCATTTAAAGGCTGCATGCTGTGTTTGCTCTTGTTGTCTTTATCTTATATTAAAAGTAGTTGGAGGATCTGAAGCATTTAAATGTGACGGGCAAATACTTTTTCACAGCACTGTGTTGCATTTGTGGGTAAGAGTGCTGTCAGTGTTTATGAGCAATAAGAAAATATGGGAACATGGGGAACACAAAACTTAGATCACAGCATAGCAGAAATGAAGTCCAATCATATAATAGGTTAGATTTTGAATTGTGTTACAATCAAGCTAACACTTGTGGCAGGTGACCAAGCGTCTGAACGATGGTGAGTACACGGTGCACGGGAACAGCATGCTGGAGGACCGGCCCACGTCCAACCTGGAGAAACTTCACTTCATCATCGGCAACGGCATCCTCCGTCCCGCGCTCAGGTCAGACCTGCAAGGCCACAGATTCTCAGATGATAAAGCATCACATAAATAGCGCATAAGGACTCCAACACCCAAATAACACTCCAAAGATGAATTACAAAGACTAAAAAATAATGTAATGTAATACAGTAACGTGTGTAAAATACCTAAGTCAAATTTTTGCATTTCATGTTATCTCATTTATAAAGTTATATAGAAAATAATTGTTTTTGTGTAATATATTTTATTCAGGTGGAATTGAAACACATTGCAGTCAAGTAAATTCAATTCATTGTTTTTTTCAGTATATCATTAAAGGGCCCATATCATAGAAAACTGAATTTTTCTTATGTCTTGGAAGTAAAA